TTCGAACCACTGACCTTAAGGTTCGCAGCCCAATTCATAACCACTACACTACCAGAGCTCCAGGCAACTTAAATTCTCTCTAGTGTGTAGCTTATGGAAATTAGTTAGGATTTGGCAAATGTGTGCTTTTTTCATTATAGGTGAGAGTATCTTAGTTTGTAAGGACTCTGAAAAGTCAAAAGGTGTAGCTCTACTTCAGGGATCTCTAAAACCTGTTCGCAGTTGTCTTCGAAGACAAGAAGGAGAAGAAATAACTGCCAGTATGATCAGAGCTATTCTAGAGGTAAGTGAGAGCTTATTAAAGCATCATTTGCTCTTTTGCTCCTATTTTAATGTTTCTTTATAAGATTATTAAATATTCAGTCTTCCTATATCTGAATCTCTTCCATTTTATATAGTTGTTCCCTGGAGTTTAACACAGTGCGATGTCAGTTTATTTAAGGACAGTGGATTCATTAAAATCTTAATGCCAGATGTTTCTTTTTTATTTTTAAAAATGTATTTACTGTTTTGTAAATTTCTTTAAAAAAGTTTTTTTTAAAAGTAACAAAATAGACCCTAATTCATACAGATAATAAATTACCAATAAAATAAGTTATAAATACACAAAGTTAGATTATCAATAATATAAAAAGATACAGTATGAAAAGTGTAACTTCTTTCTATTCATTCTCAAAGGTAACGCTCATTAAGTATTTCATATATGACATGAATTGGTTTTAACTTAATTATTAATGCTGGTGATATTGATACCTCTACCCATGTTCTTTTTTCTTAGCTGTCAGTTTTGAAAAAAAAAAAAAAAAAATCCTTACTAACATAGGGTGTTGGTAAGGAATGGAAAGAAGATACTGTCATAAATTGCTGAAATTCTTTTGAAGGACTATTTGACCATATATATTAAAGTTTAATAAATACACATGCCATTTTGCCCCCAGAAACTTCACATTTAGGAGTTTTACCTAGGGGTATATTTAGGAATTTTTAGGAAATTTGTTCTATAAGAGTATTTATTATAGCACTATTTATTAACAAGCTAAAACTGAAACAATCAAAATACCATTAATACTAAAAAATCTCTGGTAAACCTATATGTTGTGGTCAATGAAAAGAATAAGAACTATTTCTGATGATATATATATATATATATATATATCCTTTTAATATAGATTAACTGAAATAAGCAAGTGCAAAATAGTATACACTTGTATAGTGGAATTGTTAAGGATGAAAATAATTAATTTGATTTTGATTTTTAGGCAGTAGCCATCGATACCTCCTTTAAATATGTTGTTGGTTCTGAAATTTCAGATAATTTTAGTTTGTGAGGTTTTATTGTATGTACGTTTAAAGAAAAGTTTTCATGTTATGAATAGATATTTTCCACATTTTCAGTAATGATGGAAAACTTAATAAAAGAGCTACTACATTTAGATTCTGAGAATATTTTTAGAGAACAAAATCACTTTTAAAAAAAATAATAAAATAAGTATCAAAAGTTACAGAAATTTCAAAATCTTTTTTATCAGATAATAGTCGGTGGAGTGGCAAGTACATCACAAGATATGCAAATTTATGCATCTTGCACATTTTTGGCTGCAAGTCTGAAAGAGGGGAAGCAGAAAAATCAAGAGTCTGTTCACCTTGGAGCAATTGAGGCCTGTGTGAGCTGGCTGCTAGAGAATGAATTTATTCAAATAGCAGAAGTTGGTGATGGAACACAAGGTAAATATGAATTCCCAGTGGCAACCTACTTACTTTTTCATCTTGAGTGACAGAGAGTGTATGAGGCTTTATTCAGTAGAAGAAAGTTAACTTTTCAAGCAGCTTAAAGGAAATGGACTTTGCAAGCAGTGCTGTATTCAGAGTTTTATCATAGTATCTGCTCATATCCATTGGACAAGATTGTTGAATTTATCAGAGGTGAATCCTGGTGTGGTGCTGTGGGTTAATGTGCTAGACTGCAAAGTAGGTTTGAACCGAAGGGTTGGTGGTTTAAGCTTACCAGTAGCTCCTCAGAAGCCCTATACAGGGTCACTATGGGTTGAAATGGACTTGATGGCACTTAACAACAACAATAACAACTTTATAGTAGACTACTGATGTGGCACTGTAGGATCAGCACTGGACTGCTAACCACAGGGTTGATGGTTCAAACCCACCAGCTGCTCCTTAGGAGCCCTATAGGGTCACTGTGAGTCTGATGGAGTCCTGATGTGGCACTGTGGGCTAATATATCAGACTGCAAAGTCATTTGAATTGCAAGGTTGGTGGTTCAAGCTCACCAGCTGCTCCTTGGAAACCCTATACAGGGTCGCTATGGGTCGGAATCGACTCGACGGCACTTAACAACAACAACAAGTCTGAATTGACTCAGTAGCATTTAACAACAACAACAACAACAGATGTTTATTATACAGTGTACAAAGACAGGGCCTTATTTTGTTTATTTACATTCATTCATTTATTATTGTTGTTATAAAGTGATGTCGAGTTATTTTTGACTCATAGCCACCCTTTATAGGGTTTCCAAGGTTTTAAATCTTAAAGGAGCAGAGAGCCTCGTCTTTCTCCTGCGTAGTAGCTGGCAGGCTTGAACTGCAGTCCTTATGGTTCGCAGCCCAATGCTTATTGTATATTTATTTAGTGGTGGTGGCGGTATGCCATGGAGTTGGTTCTGATTCATAGTGACCCTGCACAGGGTTTCCAAGGCTGTAAATCAGAACAGCAGAAAGCCTCATCTTTCTCCCGTGAAACAGCTGGTAGTTTCAAACTTCTGACCGTTAGGTTCACAGCCCCATTCTTAACCACTATGCTAAAAGAGCTCCTTGTATATTTATTTAAATAATTAAAATTTAACGTAATACTGTATTTAGCATTTAATATACTTAATTGTTGTTCGAACAGAACATGGGAACACTGAATGGTTTAAAATTAAGAAAGATGTGCAACAGGGTATACTTTCACCATACTTATTCAACCTGTATGTTGAGCAATAATACAAGAAGCTAAGTTATATGAAGAAAAACGTAGCATCAGGATTGGAAGAAGACTCATTAACAACCTGTGATATGCAGATGATACAACCTTGCTTGCTGAAGGTGAAGAAGACTTGAAATATTTACTGATGATGATCAAAGAGCACAGCCTTTGGTATGGATTGCATCTCAATATAAAGAAAACAAAAATCCTCGCCGATGGACTAAAAAACAACATTCTTGTCAACGGAGAAAAGATTGAAGTTGTCAAGGACTTCATTCTTCTTGTATCAACTATCAACACTCATGGAAGCAGCAGTCAAGAAATCAAACGATGTATTGCATTAGGCAAATCTGCTGCACAAGACCTTTTTAAAGTGTTGAAGAGCAAAGATGTCAGCTTGAGGACTAAGGTGCGCCTGACCCAAGCCATGGTATTTCCAATAACCTCATATGCATGCGAAAGCTGGACAGTGAATAAGGAAGACTGTAGAAGAATTGATGCTTTTGAGTTATGTTGTTGGAGGAGAATATTGAAAGTACCATGGGCTGCCAAAAGAACCCACAGATCTGTGTTGGAAGAAGTGCAGCCAGAGTGTTCCTTGGAGGCCAGGATGGCCAAACTTCGTCTCTCATACTTCGGACATATTGTCAGGAGGGACCAGTCACTGGAGAAGGATATCATGGTTGGTAGGGTGGAGGGTCAGAGAAAAAGAGGAAGACAACCAGCCAGATGGATTGGCAAAGTGGCAGCATCAATGGGCTCAAGTGTAGCAACAATGGTGAGGTTGGCCCAGGATTGGGCATTGTTTCCTTCTGCTGTGCATAGGGTCGCTGTGAGTCAGTACCGACTCCATGGCACCTAACAACAACAATAAGACTTAATTGAGTCTACTTTTATTCAACTCATTTTCTTTTATTTAATGTTTTAATTTATTTAATTAGTTCTACTTAATTTATTTATGTAATATACTTAATTTCATTTTACTTGCTTTATGTAACTATTTTATTAACTTAATTCTGTTTCAGTTGTTCCTCATTTTATGTATTTATTTTACTCATTTAGGTATTTTTATCATAATTTTATTTAATTTTATACATTTATTAGAATTTTTATTGTATTAATTTTACCTAACATTTATTTTACTTTATTTTATTTATAATGAAATGCATTTTATTTTAATTTAGGTTTTTGTTTATTTACTTATTTCATTCAATTAATTTTATTTACTTATATCTATTAATTTAATTTATTAATTCACCTTATTTATTTTATTCATGTTATTATTTTAATTAATTTAATTTTATTCTGCATACTTATTTTACTATTTATTTTAAAAAGTATTTCCCAACCACTCACCTCCACTTTCTCATGCGTAATTAGGAAAAGTGTATCAGCCTACACATCTTGGTTCGGCTACTCTTTCTTCTTCACTTTCCCCAATGGATACTTTAGATATTTTTGCTGATCTCCAAAGAGCAATGAAGGGATTTGTTTTAGAGAATGATCTGCATATTGTCTATCTGGTAAGTTCTGTTTTGTATTATATTTATGAAAATGGAAAAATATACATAGAATTCGAGGATCAGAGATACCTAATGGAACTTTTTGTGTGTTTTCCTTGAGTAAGTTAGTAGCAAGATGGTTTGGCAAAGTGGCAACATGAATGAGCTCAAGCGTGGCAACAGTAGTGAAGTTGGCCCAGGATCGGGCAGTGTTTCATTCTGCTGTGCATAAGGTCGCTATGAGTCAGTACTGACTCAATGGGACGTAACAACAACAACAACAAGTTAGTAATGGTGAGACGAGAGAAGAAGAGTATTGTTACAAAGTAAGAAGCTATCATTTAAAAACCTCCTTTGAAAAATATTTGAGGTTCTTTATAAAAAAAACAACATATTTTAAATATAATATATAAGAGAATAGAAAAGGACAATGGGATGCCAAGATAATTAAAATAAGATAATTTAAACCTTAAAGAAAGGTTGGTACATAGAAACATGCATGCCATTAAATAATGTATAACTGCTGTTGTCAGCTTTTTTATTTATCTAGTAGCTCTGGTAGTGTAGTGGTTATGAATCGGGCTGCAAACCGCAAGGTCAGCAGTTCAAAACTACCAGCTGTTCCACAGGAGAAAGATGAGGCGTTCTGCTCTTGTAAAAATTTACAGCCTCGGAAACCCTGTACAGGGTCACTATGAGTCTGAACTGACTCCACAGCACACGGCCACCAGGCTGCTATAACAGAAATACTACAGGGGATAGTTTCATAAATAGAAATTAATCTTTCACTTCTAAGAGGCTGAAAGTTTGAATTCATGGTGCCATCTCTAGGGGGAAACTTTCTCTCTCTGTTGGCTCTTGGGGAAAGTTCTTGTGTCCTTTCAACATCTGTGGGCCCATCTTCCTTGGGGATCTCCATGTGTTTTGGCTTCAATCTTCCCTTGGATCTAGGAGGTTCTCAGCACAGGGGCCCTGGTTCAAAGGATGTGTTTTGCTCCTGCCTCTTGGTGGTAGTCAGGTACCTCAACTTCTCCTCACTTGTGTAATACCTTTTCTATTTCAAAAGAGATTGACTCAAAACACAACTGAATCCTGTAGATTGTATTGTGCTTTTTTTACATTGTTGTTGTTGTTAAATACTGTGGAGTTGGTTCCGACACATAGTGACCCTGCACAGGGTTTCTGAGGCCTGCAAATCTTTACAGGAGCAGAAAGCCTCATCTTTTCTCCTGTGAAACATCTGGTAGTTTCGAACTGCCAACCTTGAGGTTAGCAGCCCGATTTGTAACCACTATGCTACCAGAGTTACAATGCCACTAATCCTGCTTAATTAACATCATGTATGTTAGGATTTACAACACGGGGAAATTATATCTGATTACAAAATGAAGGATAGTTACACAATACTGAAAATCATGGCCTAGTTAAATTGACACATGTATTTTAGGGGGACACTTCAATCCATAATACCAACTCTGCTTCAGAACTTTGTAACCATTAAATCAAAGAGGAAAACTAAGTTAGTTTCAATATTCATAAGGTAAAAACAAAACAAATGCCTAAGAAAAACATTCTATTTCACTGCCTGTGAGAAATTTAATACTGAAATGATACTTTGTGATTTATATCCTAAATATTGTTGTTAAGTGCCATTGAGTTGGTTCTGACTTGTAGCGACCCTGTATAGGGTTTCTAAGTGTGTGTGTGTGAAATATATATATATAATATATATATAT